GGGTCGTTGGAGAGAACTATTGCAAAGGAAGTTTGCGGGCTCTATGCTATGGGGACGGGAGAAACACTGGAAGAGACAGGGAGGAGATGACGTGGGAGAGAACGCGAGGAGCTGCTTGGTTTGCGGTAGGAAGAACTGGGAGAGGGAAGGATGTGGGACTAGCGAGTAGTAACGAGACGAGAGGGGAACTTAGATGAGAGATTGCCGAAGAGAAACTGTTCGTCGGAGGGAGACTTCGCTGGTGAGGGATGAGATTGGGAGATGCAGGATTTTTGAGACCATAGGGAGAGTGGGAGACAGAGAGAGGACGGGAGCAATAGATGCTCGAGCAAAGTGCGGCCTGAAGCTGAGTGCTGGTCCGAGATCAATGGTGAGGAAGTGGCTAGCTGCTGTGGGTAGCAACACCCCCACATATGTAAAATACATATAATAATATATACAGTCTAATATACATAAGAGAATATATGTATATTCACACATGATATCATTTTCTCTATTAATGATGATCTTTCATTCGTCTAAATTAGTGTCCATTTCTCTCCTCTAATATACATAAGAGAATATATGTATATTCACACGTGATATCATTTTCTCTATTAATGATGATCTATTCATTCCTCTAAATTAGTGCCCATTTCTCTCTCTCTCTCTCTCATATGCTCTATTTTTTGGGTGTGATTCATGAATAAATCATGATCGAACAGTGCCCTTCAACTTCTTACATGTCAATGTCCAACAAAAAATTTTGCTTATTCTAAGTCCTAAAATGACATTTGAGTTATATCCAATCATGTTTTTTCTAGTCACAAAAAATATTTGAATCAATAAAATTTTCTTAATTTCATTAAATTGAAATACATATTAAGCAAGAAAAGTATTCGCATCATTCGTCCTTTTATTCCAATCTATGAATAAAATCATCATAATATATCGAAGGAACTATGAGTTGTTTTACAAGTTTGTTGAATTTTGATTTGTCTATGAATCACACCCAAAGAATAGAGTGTAAGATAAAAGAGTGAAAGATAGAGAGAGTAGAGACAAATATTGGGGAGCGTAGAGATAGAGGGAGGAGTGCACACTGACTTGGCCATCTGGGGTAAACTGAGCCATTTGTAGGCTCTTGTGGGTATTTTTAAATAATCCAATCTTTATGAATACATGAGGAAGAGAGGGCCTAAAAGTCCCCTTACATTAAATAATCCCTTATTTATAAATGATGCGGTACAATATGAATATATTAAATTTCTAACTCTGCTTTAATGAGGGTTGTGCAAGTTAGTTTAAGTATTTTACATATGTGTGTCAATGGCTATCAATCGTCCAAGTTGAGTCAATCGTCCAGGCTAGGTTGGTAGTTCCTTTGTCGGTCGACCAGGCTGGTTCAGTCATCCAGGCTGAGTTGTTCAGGTCGGGTCAATTTTCTATGCTGGGCTGACTACCCGGGCTTGGTCGTTTAGGCTAGGTCAGCCATCCAGGTTGGGTCGCCAGTCTAATATAGGTTGTTCACCCCTCTAGGTCGGTCCTCTAAGAGATTTGGTTTAACATATTTTTATGTACAAATTCATATATAATTATGAAATCTTAGAGTAAACTTGCAAATGAAGGAATTTTTACTCTCACATTGTTCGTTCAAATCAAAACTTATTTTCAAAATGCTTTAGAAGAAAATTGCTCTGACTAAAACCAAATCAACGAATTTTAAATTCTTAAAATTTAAAATTTTGAAAGAAAAATTTATTAAAATGTTTAATATTGATGCAATTTGATGTGAATTTTGCATTAGTTATAATTCCCAACCAAGAATACTCCATGTGCCTTGCTACAAAGCAATGGTGCTTTTAACTGTTGGTCCCCCTAATAAAGGAGAAAGATGAAAAATGGGCCACATTCATTAAGTTCAACCTAAATTTTGGAGCATTATGACTTTATGCAAAAATTTTCTATAAATTAAACTATAGGATTCATGGATATAAATTAACTTAAGAGGGACACATTTAAATTGAATGCTATTGAGAAGAATCAGGTTTAGTGTTATGAGAAATAATTGATAAGGGCAAGGTTTATCAAAATAGAATCATATTCAAGTATAATCATTAAAAAATATAGGAAATCAAAATATGAACATATATGTGAAAGTTCGGCTCAAGCTGGAATTATACAAGTACAAATTATGATTTGACCAAGCCAAGTTCAATCCATGACATATTTGACTCAACTCAACTCGATTACAGGAACTATGAATGGACAAAATACTGAGCTAAACACGTGTCAGATTAGCTGCAAATCACAGCTAAATTTACTTATCAGGCAAACTTTCAAGTTGCTCAAATCAGTCAAGAGACTTTTTGTACCCATGACATACTGATAAGCTGTTGATGTCTCATCTACAGCTCTTGCTGAACAAACACTTGAAACGGGTTTGATTCAAATTGACTTATTAACTTGCTTCACATGTTCATGAGTCTGACTCAAACATACCACATTTCTATGTGTATAAAACAGCATTGAATCATTCAGATTACTTAAACTTTTACTGAAGTATTATTTCACTATCACTATTTGTTAACAATTTTATTTGATTTTCTTACATCTTGTTATTTCTTTTTATACAATAAATTTCTTAACTACCCACGAGCAAAACCGGAGAAATATCCCAAAGTGAAAAAACGTGAGAAGCTCTGCTTTCGTAGGTACAGGGAATGCACATGAATCCTTTCATAAACTACTTGTTGAGAAATTAGGGCGAAGAAAAACAGAAATCTACACAAATCCTGAAGAATACACAGAGATTTAACGAGGCTCGACAATGATGTCTACATCATCGGGAGCAGAATGAAGACTTCCTTTCCAATATTCAGAAAAGAGTAACACTACCAAACCTCTAAACCTTAATACCCCAACGTTAAAAACGAGACTTGATAATTAACAATCAAAGCGTGATGCTCTGAGAATAATTTGTGCAAAAATAAATGAATTTTGGAATGCAGTTTACGATAAAATTTAATAAAGAATAAATGATTAGTGCTATTAATCATTTGGCGAATTAATATATTAATAAAGCTAATGCCTGATCTAGTTGTCCCCCTCCCCCATAGTACGTTTTGAAAGAAACCTTACAGAATGCTGTTGTAGCCATTTAATTCCTTTGTGCAAAAACAAAAATCAGATAGCCTAGAATTCGTTTTATTAAATTTTTATGCCGAAGAAAAGAAGCAGCGATCTGGAATGTTCAGTATAAAGAGGCAGGAATGGCGACAGTGAAGAGCAGCCCTCGAAAACCATAAAAAAATGGAGCTTTGGAGGAGTCTCATGATCTTAGGTTTGTTGCTTTTAATGTTTTATGAGTCTGCTTTGGTGGTTGGTTTGAAGATCCTCGCACTATACAGCAGAGATGACTTCTCTTCAGAGTTTATATTTGGCGCAGGCACTTCTGCATATCAGGTATTTTTTATTTTTGTTTCTTCTTGTAGTTTGGCATCTTTCTATTCTATTTGTATTTATTTTGCACCTCTGCAAAGCAATAAATTTCTCTTAAATGAATTTTTGCTATGTCGTGTTAATTATTTTGAGTGTACTTTAACCTGTTGTTTTGTAATGATCTTTAAATTTGTTTCATATATATATATATTCTATTCATGAAAGGCTCGTTGCGAATTGGGCCCTACTCGTGGCAGCACCAGGGCGACTTATAGTAAAAGTCGAAGGAACTCGATCGTGGGCATGCCTTCGTGGCCCGCGTTCCACTCGTGGCAGCACCAGGGCGACTTATAGTAAAAGTAGAAGGGAACGCGACCGTGGGCATGCCTCCGTGGCCCGTGTTCCTTATTCGCGACCCAGTTGCCCCTCTCCTCATCATGACAGTTCGTTCTCTCGTCTTGCCTTAGCAGTGCGCTTCTCTCCCGCGATCCTCTCCCTCTCGCGATACTTCCCCTAAAATCTTCTCTCTCTCTCTCTCTCTCGATTCTCATAGATAAGATTGCCTCTCTCTCTTGTGTGATTGCCACAGATAAGGTGAGTTCTCATCTCTCTCTCGCGAGATTCTCACGGATAGGGTTTCTCTGGTACCTTCTTGCTATGGTGCCTTCTTGGTGTGGTGTCTTCTTCTTTGTGTGGTGTCTTCTTGTTCTAGTGTTTTCTTATCGTCTGATGGTTCTTCTGTGATGTGATGCCTCTTCTTGCTGCGTAATCCTTATCTTAACTAAGTTATTGTTTTTGTTTTTGGAAATGACTATATGGTTGAAAATTTCATGGATGTGGCTTTGCTGTTGTTCCTCTGTGTGGTTCTTTTTTTTCGTTCCGGGTATTCTGTATCCTAATTGGCTTTTGGTCTTGCAAAAGTCTTTTAATGCCCTGGAATTTAGTTTTGCAAATTTTTATTCTTGTTACTTGGTAATCTGTAACCTAACATTTCTGTGACTTTTGATTTTGTAAAAAGGTTTATAATATCCAAGAAATTTGTGGTTTTCTTTGTGCGGCAGTTCCCCATCCCATTGATTAATGACGGCTGTGTTCAATAATTTTGCAATTTTTGATTTGACAATTACTTATGGTTAATTTATTTTTGGTTGATATTGGAATTTGGGGATTTTTCAGAATCTCATGTGGTATGACTTAAAAATGGGTGTTGGTTTTCGTTGATGTTGGATTTCGGTTTTATGCTTGCTCTTTTACATTCTTGATTGGCAAAATTACTGCCTCTTTCAAATGCATGTTCAATGCCTTGTATTCATGTGCAAAGAGGTGCTTTCGTTTGATAACTAATTATGTACATTTGGTTGATATTGACTTATATTGTTTATGCATTGAGTTGAAGGACGTGGATGTAGCGGTGAAGCGTGGTTGGTGCGTGGATGTGGAGGTGGATGACGACTTAACTTATGAAATACATCGTCTGCATTTTAAAAATAATATGATCATATTATTTAATATTATTTTAATAGTTTTTTTTTCTTATAAGATAATTTAACATATAATAATTTCATCGGTATTTCAACGAACTTACACGGCAACACTGTGCGGCGTGCCCCTTGCCCAGCCGCAAGCTCAGTTCTGGCGGATAAGGTTATAAGCGCTGGAATAATAATCCCATGGAAACAAAAAATATCAAAGAAGTCTGGGGGCCACTAACATGAAGGCAACCTTCTCCGGCCAACATATCAGGCAAATTCCGGCCATCTCAGCCGCCTTGCGGCAGCCGAAGGCATTCCCCAAACAGTCGACGCTCTCAATTTCCAAATTTGCCGGCCCGTTGAAGTGCGCTGTGCAGAGAAGCTTCGTGGAACAAAGCGCGCCCAAAGGCGATGCGGAGGCCTCTAACTTGAACGACCTAATCGATTTCCTGTACGACGACCTCCCCCATCTCTTCGACGAGCAGGGAATCGATCCCTCCATGTACGACTCCCGGGTTCGATTTCGTGATCCCATCACGAAGCACGACACCATCGACGGGTATCTGCTCAATATCCGCCTCCTCAAGCTCCTATTCTCTCCGGATTTTCAGCTCCATCGCGTGTGGCAGGTAATGCCAAGTCCTCCTTTCGCTAAAACCCTAGCTTTGTGGGCGTTTTGTTGTTATTTTATTTTTATAAGGATACACTTCCACATAGATTCGTGGTTAGAATGGAATCAATTCGGTCGTAATAAATGAGCCACTCCATCGACGGGTATCTCTCTTTATTTTTAAAATTTTTATTTTGTTATGTCTTATTCAAATATAGCATGTTAACAGAAGCCACTCCTAATCCATTAATTGAGAGATTGTGCTTCGAAGTAAGAGGTTATGAGTTTGAGACCTGTAAATATTACAAAATAATATAGTCCACCTTAACCTATTAGTTGAGATAATAAACTTATGCCAATAGGTTATGGGCTTTGGCCTTGCATTTACGTTCGTGAATTTTGCTTTAAATCTGTTGTCATCAAGAAATTTACATGATCGAGTATTCCAAATCTTGGATAAGAGAGATTCCAAATTCAAAGTTTAGGATCATATAAGCTCTT